CATCGGGCACCAGGCTCCTGCTGTCCCCCTAGACGTTTGCTTACCTTACCACTCCAGCAGTTCTGCTCCACTCCCACCTTGCTCCTCAGTGCAGCCCTGTAAAAAACAAGCTCCGCCCCCTGAAAAACCCTTCCTGCATGTGCACAGGATGGTGCCAACTGTAAAAGGAAGGTCCCAGGACCTTACCAAGAGCTGTATTCTACTTACTAGTCTACAGCAAAAAAAACCTTGTTGGCAGCCCTGATTGTGTGGCAGTACCAGGAGTGTAATGGATAGGAGGTTGTATTTCATATTCAGTATGATAAATCCAGTTGTAATCCTGAGATGCTAATAACTTAAATAACATTGCTTGTCATTGTATATCCTGCACTGTAACTGTCAAAGTCAACATTACTTCATATCAGTTCCTTATATCTGTCTTTGTAATTTCCTTTTTAGTAAACAATGTTGCTACACCACTATAACAATGTATCAGGTCATGCCTCCGACAGAGTAACCTAGGCTTCCTTAATTGTAATGCATGCTAATATTTTTTCCTGTCTGTATTTGGATAAAAATATTACAAGGAACAAATGTTTTATTAGGCAAACAAACCTGTGCTAAAGGGTAGTTGTAAACATGGGTGACCACCATAAACAGATGGGGCCAGATTGAGTGACCATCCATGCAAGGGGTAGGCAACCTTGGCACTCCAGCTGCAGTGGGAATATGAGTCCTATGAGGCCTAGGTTACCTACCCCTGGTTTATATATTTACTGCTCTCAGACAGTCACTCTCTCCAAGAAATACATGCAATCAATCATACTGTTTAGAAATATCAGTATAGGCTTAAATTCGCTCCGTGTGTACCCAGCTTTAGAGACCACCTGGGTCACATGCCTTGATGGGACAATGTAGCTTCACGTGTATTTGCAAATATATTTTAGCAGGAAATATTGAAACAGTTCTCAGGCTTTCTGTGCAATCAGGCTTTTTGTGCTGGGGAATTTTTGTATTTCACTGTAAAGCTTTGAGAAATCTTGTACCAAAGCAGTCGTCTTGTAGCTTGCTTACATTTATGGAACTTAAACTGTGAACTCAGCCAGGTCTACGCTGGACATTTTTTACCTGCTTTGCTATTCTTTTGGCATAAGGATGTGATCAGATCATACCTTCTTACCTTCACCATGCTGTTAAAGTTAGCCTGTTTATTGCCCATGAAGGACAAAGCAACAGGTTCACCTTCATTTATTTACTCCCCCACCCCATGCTCAGCAGCCAGGACCAAGAAGTAACTGATAACTCCAGGTATGGGAGAGCATGGAGCTCAATCACTGTGACAGAGCCCACCTAATTTCCTAGCTAAGGGACACCCAGCACAATCTACCTCTAATTATCTAGCTCTTCGCTCCCTAGAATATAAATATTAGTTCTCCCAAAAGCTTATTCTCATCCCATCCTAATCTAAATGGATACACAAAACAAAATGATAAAGGGCTTTCTGAGATGAGAAGAAAAACCACAATAAGATTGAGCCAGGTTCAAAGATTTTACAAAGCTCTTTATTAACATAGAAAACCTTAAAATACCCATCAACAACCCATAAAAACAGATCACAATTGTTAGCAGAGGATTATCAGTCTTGGAGGATCAAGACTTGGAGGATCAAGACTAATTAGTGGCATCTATTGATACAAAACCCATATGGTATCAACCACTAGATGTTGAAAGGTGATTTCACCAATGTTCAATCATTCCGTCTGTAGTATCTAAATTGACTTTAAGCTTCCTGAAATAAGCTAAGCTTGCTATTCTCTGCTTCCAATGATGATAATAACAATACAATGGTTAAAATAAGCAATTATCTTATTTATTTATACAGAAATAAAAATTACATAGAAAAGAGAAAATAGATACAAAAGTAGATTCTCGCTAAGACAATAAAGAGAATACTTTACGTAGCAGGTCCGTCCTTTGGTTCTATGTCTTGGCTGGGCTCAGAGAGAGAGAGAGCAATATGGCTGAGCACTGACTTTTATAATACACAGGACCCATTCATACACGTACATTCACACCCCTTTTACCCAGAATTCTGTATGTCCCTTATAGGTATATCGACCAATCCGTATCTTCCTTCATATTTGTCAGCATGCACTGAAGTCCTCTAGCAGTGGGCACCATCGCACTGTAGGTAATTCCTCTGCCTAGGTCAACACCTTGTCCTTTGATCCTTAGATAATGGACAGCCACATTCATATGCAATGCAGCATATCTTGAGGGTGTCTTCCCAATGCACATATAACCCCTATCAACATCACAGGGTGCAATGCATGACCTCCTATCCAGGTGATTGAATTTCACCTTTATCAACTCCTTTGCCATACCTCCTGCGGGGATGAATACCATGGCCTCCAGCACTTCTAAAACACAGCTGGTTTCTTTGATGACCCATGCAGTCTTAGATTCAATACATGAAGATAGATGTTCGGCAGATTTAGTACAGGAAAATGTTGTACATTCCAACACCATCTTCAACGGGCAGGAAACTGGTGTTCCCAGAAAAATGTCTATTTCCCCCCATATAGCTTCATTGAGTGACACTACAAATAACATAATATTGCCATTACTATCAAAGTTCATGAGAGATTGCAATTGGGCAGCTCCCAATTAAGTGGAAAGATGATACCCCCACTGACCTGATATAGATGTAATTATTTGTCCACAGCGCATGTGGGATTCCCACCAAACGCTGCAGACATTTCTCTGTGCCTTCTTTAAGTGTGGCGTATACCAATCATCTGGCAAAACGTCACACGCACGACGAGTCCATGCATGCACAGATGGTATCTATGCGCTAATGGGTGGAAATACAAAAAACGCCCAACTTTGGTCCCGCCTCCAACCTTGCGCGTCCCTCACATGGACGCTCCGCTCTTCCATCCCATCCCAAAGAGGTCTTTACACCCATCGAGGAAAGGAGGGGAATGGGCAGGAGGGGAGCCAGTGAATAACCCCTTCCCATGACACAACATGGGAAAGGGAGTAAGTGCTGCACACCATGGAAATCCATGGAGAGGAAAACGTCAATAATGGGTTCTGTGGGGGCAGCAGTGCTAAAAAAGGTTAACAGTAAACAAAACAAAAAGAATACAGAAATACAAAAGCATAAAAAAAATCATAAATCCAAAATGGAACCAATTACATTCTCATAATGCAACTACATATATTGCCAAGGGCATATAATATAATAAAAAAAATCTCTTAACAAAATATAAAATATACACACATATAAATATTTGTCATAATTAATATTTTCAAAATTGCATATGGTGCTATATAATAACTTAATACCCATATATGCTGCTTAAAGTCATCCATTCAAAACTGTTTGCATTTTCTGGTTAGCCATCAAATTAGTACTTTTTAATATAGAATAATAGCCTATATAATAATGGAGCACATCAGGTCCAACTCTGCTGACTGACAGCAGCAGAGGGTGGGTGCAATAGCTAGTCCGCTATTGGCTATTGCAAATTGAAATAGCCAATAGCAACCTAGCTGTTCATTCCTATGCCATTTTTTTTCTGACTGACGTCGGCCCCCGGTGTCAAGAAAAAATTAATAAAAAAAACAGCAGGGTAAGGTTTACTCTGCTAGATAATAAACACCCGGGAGTTTCTCTACTTGGTGTCCAGGAGCCGCTACCTTATAGAGTTGAGATGTCTGTATTGGCGAGTTTTTGAGGAAAAGTATCCGTAATCATACTCGGCCTGGAACAAATGGTATTGGTGCTTCCCTAGTCATAACCTAGCCCAGCCTAGCATGGTCTGCCCAGCATGTTCGGTCTACCCGAAGTGCAGAAGGAGTTCGACTCAGCCGATTCAACATCTGGATCGGCTAAGCCGAACCTCCGGCAGGCTACTCGCTGCTGATCGGCCTATTCTGATAGATGCCGAACAGCAGTGAGTGAATAGCTAAATGCCGCCGAGCGGCATTTGGCTCGGCTGTTCTGCTCGGTACCTCTGTGGTACCGAGCAGAATAAAAAAACAGTTAAAAAAGTAGTAAAAAATAAAATAGAAAACAATTGGGCGGAGCTAGCAGTGACAGCTAGCTCCGCCCAACTGTTTTCTATTGGCCGGGCGGTTCTGCAGCTGTCAGAAGTAGGCAGTCGGCATATGCCCTCGGCTCAACTGAGCCGCTCGGCCGACTTCAGGAGCTGTACGGGCTATAGTGAATAGCCTGTACAGAAGCCCTTTGGTTCTACTGAACCCGAAGGGGTCCTTGGGCCGAAGCTAGCCGAAGGATCAGCCGGAGCTATGGCTAGATTCTTCGGCAGCTTAGTGACTAGACCCCTTTGTATTACTGAAGTCTAGAGAAACTGTATGTCTAGGAATTACCTAAATACATTCTCAATCCTCAGGATCCCTGTAGAACATGTTCCATCATTATTTATTTATTTATTTATTTATTTTACCTTCTTCCTGTAGCTTTGATTATTTCCCGTAACATCTTCATCATCATCAGACATGTAAAATGTTTTCAGGGGCAACTGCTGGGAGGTCAGCTCCTTTGACATACAGTAGGTACATCCCCAGAATAATCTCCCACGAGCCCTTTCCCTACACACATAGTGGGGTTGATTTTCTAAAGTCTGTTCACTCTGTGAGGGAATTTTCCCTAGACTTAAAGGAGAACTATGGGGGTCAGTGTTTTTCCCCATAGTTCTCCTTAGGGTAACGGGAGGACACAAACTAGCGTCCTCCCGTTACCCTAAGCTCAGTATACCGCGAGCTACAGCTTGCGGTATACTGAGACGCCGCAGCCGGAGCGGATCCCGACGTAGATGATGGGATCCGCCCAGCTGCGTGAGTGACAGCTGGCTCTGCCTATCTGGAGGCAGAGCCAGCTGTACCCGCCCTGTCCGTTCCGCCAGTCAGCACTGGCAGATCGGAGCGGGGAGAGGGGAATCCAGCCCCTCCCCCTGTCACGGCAGAGAGCCGTGACAGGATCGAGAGGTGAGCGAACCTGGTATGTGTTCGCTCACCTCCCGATCTACTGAGCCGACCTGTGACAGTCTCATTGTCACAGGTCGCCTAGAACTATGAGGTGAGTGGAAATCACTCATCTCATAGTTCTCCTTTAAAGAATGAGGTGAAGCTCTGTTGGGGTCCATCGTTCAATCACTTACAAGCAAAAATACTGTTTTTTTTTCTTTTATATTTTCCTTGCACGTGATTGGGTATTCTTTGCAAAGTGCATTTTTTCCACATTCAGCAAAGTAAGGTAAAAATCCTTTGGAAAGTGAACAGCCTATTGGCCTTTAGTAAATCAACCCCACAGTGTTGTAAGGCCAAACAAGAAGTTAGGATCAGATTGGATTTCTGGCAGATCAACAGATAATGTTCTGTACTGGCAGCATTTTTAAAGGGATAAAACATGGGCATGTGCATTCATTGGAGAGATGCGCTGAATATGTTTCTTTTTTGTCTTGGCATACATTTTATAGTCCAATAAAATCTTATTGGCTTTCTCAAATTCAAGATAACATTTCTGAATCATCCCTCTCCCCATACATGTACACTTTTTTTTTATTGTGACTTTGCACTGGGTAAAAAAATTAATAAATCTAGCTATGGCATACATAAGGGGCGCATATAGGGACTGGCATTTTAATTGCCCAAATTAGGTCACAGGAATACATATGCAGTCAGACAGATACGGTACTAACAACCTCAATTTTCTAAGCCTTGTGTCCACTTAACTGTGACACCAGCTGTGCAGTGTATCTAAATATGTGTGTTTAATTAAACAGGCTCCAGAATTATCAACACTCTATAATGTGACAGACGTGGTCAGACACACCACTTCCCCTCCTCTGCAGTACAAGTCTGCATGAGAACACGTCCTGAGGGGTGTGACTGTTACTCCGCCCTGCAAAGACAGAGCATTGCAGTGTCAGGGACGATGGCAGAATTTTTCTAAAATTGTCACAAATCACAGCAGGTTTATAAGGTTTATAAGGTGTGAGACTTCAGTTGGGGTTTTAGGAAAACAAAGTGCATCAGTTCTAAGAAAAAATAATATATTTTTTTAATGGCCATCAGGGATGCTTCCTTTTTTCATTATAATTTTGTGGTAGACGTGATTATTCTGCTCGGTAAGGTCCTGAAAAAAAATGACAATAATGAATAAATAAATAAATAAATAGTAATGATAATAATAATAACAACAACAACTATTATTATTATTATTATTAATGTTAATGAATGAGTTGAGTGTGACACAAATAAAAAGTATAGTCATGAACCTTATCTGTAGGGCCAAGTATTTTCTTTTCCATCCAGCAACTTCAGTTTTCTGACTGAAGGATGACAGTTGAAAGTGTGACGACATGGGTCCCCCACTGTGCAAATCTTGATGACCTGGTCAAAATTTGCACAGTGAGTGGGCAGCTTAAAGTGTATTTCCACTTTTGCAGCCAAATTAGGATAACATCCATTTTATATTTGTTCCCATTCGCGTAGGACAAGAAGTTGCAGTTTAAATTGCTTTTACTTAGGTTAGGGGTTCTTATGTGTTAACATTTCTATTTGTCTTCTCCTAAGAGGGGATATGAGGGGCTTCCCCACTGTATGTTAATGAAGTTAATGAGAGAAACACAATCCACAAATTTCAGTCCTAGTGTTGGCCATAAACCTATAGATTATCTGCAGATTTTCTATGGTCGGATGGAAAAAGTGTAACAGATTCCTCCAGCTACGCTAAACTGTGTGGAATCTCCCGCTGGGCCAAGCTTCAGTATCTTGCTAGTCGGCCATGCTGGCTGTCAAAATACCTAAACATTCTGATTGGATGCAGGCATTGTTCAGGTATTTTGAGAGCCAGCGGGGCCGACTAGCAAGATACTGAAGCTTGGCCCAGCGGGAGATTCCTCCATCCACACAGTTTAGCGTAGATGGAGGAATCTGTTGCACTTTTGCCATCCAACCATAGAAAATCTGCAGATAATCTATAGGTGTATGGCCAGCTTAAGTCACAAACCTGGAATTAGCCATCTTGCCTGCTGCAACTTTTTTTTTTATTATTTTTCGTTAAGCTGTGTGAATGAGAACACACAACAGACATTAAACATTGAGGTTTTTTTTTCATGTTTTACTGCAAAAGTGGAAATACAATTTTGAAACAGTACACTCTTCCTTATACATAGATTATTAAAATAACAATGAGTGAGTGCTAAACGACTGCTATTAGCATACCTGATAAGCAGATTCACTTCCTTGTGATCTGGTGTCTTGAGGTCTGTTTCCTATAAAGTATACCACACCAGTCAATGTTATAAAAATCTTCTAGCAATCAATTTTAATTTTTTTTTACATTTAAGAAATGTTCTGGAGCAGTTGCCCATGGCAACCAATCAGCATGTCTCTACAGTTTGCCTAGGTAAGATTTGAAAATGAGACACAGAAGCGGATTGGGTGCAGTGCAAATCTGCTCCACATTTTGTCTGCTCCAGTTTTGATCAATTCCCTCCTATGTGTTTTAGATAGGACACAACAACTACATTTCTCCCTACAGTTGCCTTAACTGGTGTGGGACATTTTTAAAAGAATATGGAGTTGGGCAACCAAATGTGGCCCCCAGCATTTAGCATGAGAAGTACTAAAGAATGTAATAGAACATCTCTCCTTTAAGAATAAGAAACTTCTAGAGCGCCATCATTGTATTCAATTTATTCCGTGGTCAGAAAAATGTTGCCATGCAATTGCCCTTAAACCCATTTAAAGCCCAATGCTCTGTATTTATTATTGCAATGCAGTCAGGCTCCATAGGCAATACTAATGTTGCTGCTCTTTCCATTTTCTTTTAGTCATAGAACAGGGTCCTAAAGTTAGGTCACATGACCCAGCTGGCTTGCTTTCTATTTTGTAAGATGCAGCTTTGGAGCAGGGATCGCTTTAGAGGTTCAGCTTAACATAAGATGTACTCACATATCTCTTGGAGGAGCTTTTCTTTTTGGAAATACTTTAAACGATTTGAACGTCATGTACTGCCTTCTACATAAAAGATATCTATAATGCCAAAGGGCAACACGGGGGCTTCATGGCATCTCCTTAGCAGCCCTGGGGTCTCCAGGTCGAATCCTGGTCAGGACACTATCTACAAGGAGTTTGCACGTTCTCCCTGTGCTTGCGTGGGTTTCCAAAATTAGCCCTGTATGTGTGTACAATAGGGACCTTAGATTGTAATGCTGATGCTTAGATGCTGATGTGAATGTGCAGTATGTAAAGCGCTTCATAAATTGTCAGTGCTATCTGAATGCCAAATAAATAAAATAGAAGAAGCAAGGCTTAGGGGAAAGAACTAATGTTGCTGGAAACATTTTCGTCTTGACTTCCATGTCAAACCAAATCATATTGACCTTGTAGAGCTTTCTTCATGTGTCGCTTTATAAAGCAGAAAACACCCAAGCCAATCAGTAGCAGGATAATGATGTTCCCCCCAATAATCCCGGCAAGAAGTCTGTAATCCATAGAAGAGCAATCTAGAAAAGGAAAGACAAAGAAAAACAATACTTATGTCCATCTAGTCCAGTGGTTTTCATAGCCCGACCAGACAGCACAGTCAAGCTGGTGACCTGCCACTACTCTATTTCAAATAGAGCTATATAGTTGGGTCTCCTCTCCCCCCAGCTTTGTGATTGGACAGGAAAGGAGGAGCAGCAGACTTTGCTCTATTCCCCTTTCAGTATATTGGTTTCAGATTGGCTTCTAGTGCTTTCCTAACCTCTCCCAGACTGAGCTGCACAATGCTGGGGATAAGAAGATATCAACATAAACTCATATTTAGGTCCATACACTTGTTTATTAGTTTATTTAGTATTATTTTTTTCTAATAACTGAATTACTGCATTAATTGTTGTTAACATGGACATGTTAACATACAAACAGATACATATAGATAATTGCCGGCTTTGTATTCTTTGCATACCTTATTTCTCTTTTCTTCCCCAGCCTTCTGACAATGGCCATGTTTACTAAGGGCAGATTACTATCTCTCCTTTTACTTCCTGAATTTCTGGCACATGTGACTAGACATGTGACGAGGACATGTGGCCATGCACATCATCTCAGTGGAGGAAAATGCCTTTCCCTGAGATTTCCTGAGATTACAGATAGGATTTCCTAGCAATGCTCTGCTGATGACAAGGTAATCCCAGTGTGCATTGCTTTGGCAAACTGAAGTCATTTTGCCCTTTCAAAGCAGGAAGTGAATGCTCTGCAAGTGTCATTATTTCAAAATCGCAGCATTTTACACCTGACATGTCTATATGTTATTATTAATCATCATTTATAGAGGGGTGCATTGGTTGTATTCTGGTTTTTAAACTTCAAAGTTTTTTGGGGATTTTTTGCATGTAAAACAGGTAAGTGTACAAACAGATAGAGGCATGGAAAAAGCATAAAAGGAGGACTCACTTCCTTTACGCAGATACAGACAGATGTTCAAAACCTTCCCCATTCTACTGTAAAATGTGTTCCCTGCTGTCTGTGTCCAGTGTGATTTAACCTCACTTTCCATTTTGCCTGACATCCATCAAGTAAACTGGAAATGAGAGAAAATCTTCCAAATGGGGGCACAGATAGCAATGAAATGCTGACAAAGGTTCCAACACTTCAACACTTCCTCAATTTATTTTAGAACTGACAGACCAATGCAAAAATACATCTCCCAATTTCCTGAGATGGGAAGGAGGGATGCCTTTTAGCACAAATCATGCGGGCAAAGGATGTAGCCCTGCATTGAGGAATATATATGCTAAAATGATTGGTTAAACTCATGAGTGTTTTTTCAGTATTATTTTTCCTTTTTACTAGCTTTTAAAAATAACATATACAGGTTGAATGAATGGTTTCATGTAGCAAAACAAAGTTGTTCCTTTAATAATTAATTGTTATAGTTGTCTATATATTAGATGAGGGGTCTTCAACCTTTTCTACAATAAGCCCTTAAGGACCAATGACGGAATATTTCTGTCATGGGTCCTTAAGGGTTTAAGCTTCCATTATGCGCTAAATAAGAACTTAAATATGCATATGTCATATCAAATTACATCCTTTTTTGTCTTTTAAAAAAACGGAATATAATATGCAGGTGCAATACATGAGAAAGATGGAAATTGTGGTTGAACACAAACAGCAAAAAATGCTTTGGTTCTTAACCGAAATACAAGCAGCTGAAGCTTGGTCCTTGAGGGGTCTGTTTATCAATTTACAAAGCCATGTACCCTGGGAATCTCTTTTAATGTTTTCTGTATGGAAATAAAGGCAGAAATTACAGATCTTGGTATATTTTCTTATCAGATTGAATGTAATACCACATTATGACCATTAGATAGAGCTGAAGAGCACTGGAAACAAAATCAGACTATCCCCGTCTCCTACACCTTCAGAGCTCAGATCAACCCCAATGCTTGAACTTCAAACCTCAGATCAACTCCAGTGCATGAACTGTAGACCTTGGATCATCCCCAATTACTGCACCTTCAAACCTCAAATGAGCCCTATTTTTTGCACCTTCAGGACTCAGATCAGTCCTATTTCCTGCACCTGCAAACCTCAGGTTAGCCTGAATTCATGCATCGTTAGACCTCAGATGAACACTAAAACCAATAATCATTTTAAATAAATGTAGGAAACCCCCAAGTCTTTCCTCTATCCTCTTGATTACCATGGTGCTCCCTAATATGCCACAAAACACTCCTTTCACGTCCGATCTGTTGCTCCCACACTTCAATAGCTGCCCAGCTGCTTCTTGAGTTCCATAGTGATGTCCAACAGTGTGATTGGACAATTTTAAGGAGACACAGTGCTTAGTCAGGAGGAAGTGTCCTTAATGCAGGAAGGGAAGTGGGTGCCCCTGAAATGCATCACATGTTATGGAGGTTGCCAACCCCTACAGAAGACCAAAAAGAGGTACTGAGAAGTAAATAGACACAGAGATATTTGGTTGGGACAGTTGAGATGTAAGCAAAAGATACTGCTGCTGATGTCCTACTGCTGGAAGCAAGCAATCTGGTACCGAGTAGCAGAAAATCTGATGTGGATCATCACGTTTCCTTTCAAATAGTTTATATGAAGAGGCTAGGGGAGACACCATATGGCATTATTATATATGAATCATGGTATAACCCCTTACCTATCGTAGGAGATTCTACAGCTGCAATACAGATAGAAACAAATGGTCATCCAATGTTATTGTAGAATAGATTCACACTGTAAATTTACCTAGACTAGTTTTCTCTTCAGAGTCCCTCCCTGGAAAAAAAAAGACAAATGAAGGATTACCAATTAAAGCCAAAGCAAAGTCACACAGCCATACTGACTCTGTACTGGCAACCACCATTTTTGTGATCTTACTTCTACTTTCATATTACAGCAGCTGTACAGTGTGTCTAAATATTACTACACAGTGCAATGGGCACTAGAGTTTGACAATGCTGCCCAGTGCCATCTGTAATCGAACAGACTAGCCCCCTCTCTTCATCGAGTCTTTTGAGGACACTTGTCATAAAAAGTGTAGTCATTGCTTAGCTATGTCAGCAAGGGGCACTGGAGGATAGGAAGTACACCTTCATTAATAAAAATTGTTAATAAAACGATTACAAAGTGAAAATCAGATCAGTTAATCAGAGGTGGTCTGGTACCTGACAGCTAATTGGCTGGAGACACCTGCAGGAGAGCACTGGAACTGCAGGATCTGGTTCCAGCGCCACAGTGCCACCTGGAGGTGCTCTGGTCCCTGACACGTTGCCATACATTGTGAAACAATTTGCCCAATTTCAATAAATCTGTTCCAGGGCTGCACACATGTTTGTCAGTTAGCCTCCCCCATCCGAGAGCGCTGTTTATGTTCTTTTTGCCAATTTCAATAAAGAAGAATTGATGAAAGGGATTTCCGAGTGCCAGTGATTACTTAATTTTCTATGGACCCGTTAAGACAGTGTCACATTGTATGCATGCCAGTAATAGAAGAGGCGATATGCTTACCTGTCCAGCAGCTTGTTTGTTACATTGTCACCTCTTTGTTGCCTCCTGACCGATGAAGATATTCAACCAGTTGGATGGGTTGGATACTTGCTTCATCAGCCACCTTCAGCATTTCCTCCCACTGGCCGGTACATCCTGTAGTGATAAACCACAGCAGGAGGAACCAGGACGTGTGTTGGGAGAGCAGATATTCCACAAATCCAGAAGTGCAGAATACTTGCAGTGGTCAGGAAGCAGTAAAGAGGTGATGTTTCAACAAATGGGTCATTGTAAAGGTAAGTATAATGCCTCTTATATTAGAGGTATGCTTTAAGATACAAAGGGACCCTGTGCTGATAGAGTCACTTTAAAGTGATCGTAAAACAAACAGTTTATCAATGAATTATATTGGGGATCATTCATCCATTTCTGTATTGTGGTCATTCAAGTTACCTTCTACATCCAGTTCAATGGTTTCACTTGTTGAGGTCAGACTATCTGCAAAAGTCACTTTACATTGTAGTTTCTTCAGGCTGTCATTAACGGTTGGAATAAATGTGAGGTTGGAGTGGTAGCTCCTGGTGTTGTCCCCATTATATATAGTGTATTGACGTAGCGTTCTTTTGTTAAATGTTCCTTCCCAGGTGATTTTTGGAGCTTTACCGGAACATCTACCAGGACTTGTACAGGTTAGAGTCACCCTCTCACCAGCAACCAAAGTCTGCATTGGGGAGATTTCTGGAGTGTCTGTTAAATCTGCAAAATGGAAGATTGAAATGAAACAATGGATGGTTCTTGTTGCAAAATGTATCCCCTCCCCAATTTTGCACCCTTGTGCATTCATTTATACATTCACTCATTTATGAAAATGCAGGGTCTGCCTATCCTTCACACTGGGATGCCCAAAGGGTCATATTATGACCCATTTTCTTGAGCATCATGTTCATTCACTCGGCTTCTAGTTGATAGGGAGGATTGGGATTTTTTTTGTTAATGGGTTTGTTTCAATGAATCCCAGAAATCTTGATTGCCAACTGATTATTACTTAAATGCCCACAGGGTCATTGTTGTACCCTTACAGGTTTTTCATGCAATTTTTGAATGTTATCATTGTGCTTGCTATGCCTAACACTTTGATTCACCACCAACATGCATTTTTCAATTGGACATGAAGTGGTGTGGCCTTGCTCCGCCCATCTTATCACTGAAACCTAACAGGGAACATAGCCTATCAGAAACTGGTAAAAAATTGTTGGCTTTGCTTACTTTTTCATGAATTCATTCATACATTCCTTAATTTGTTCACCTACAGTATGTATATATGTGTTAAATATGTATATATTGGTTTATTTATATTTCTTAAAGAAGAACTCTAGCCATTTAAAAAAAATTAACCCTTCTAGTGGGGCTACCCCCAGCTGGTGTCTTTAGTACAGCTGCTACATGGACCGCCACACGTGTCACTGCGTAAAGATATGCACAAAGGAAGCATTTTGGTGCCAACATTGCTTGTATGTAAGCTGCAGAAAAATTAGTTTTGGTTTGCTTCGGATATTTAGTAATTTCGGAATGTGGTATATGGATCCGAAATTCAATTCGGTTTGGGTTTCTGACTCGGACAAAATCCAAATTTTGTTAGTTTCGGATGAGTTTACGAATATTTGTGGTGAGTAAAACAGAAAACCCGATACAAATATTAATACTAAAGCTGAATCAGCTTTAGTAATATATGTATATGGTTTCCAGACTCGAATGACATCTGAGACCCCCACACCCCAATGCCATTCGGGTCTAGGAGCCTCAGCTTTAGTAATATATGTACAGTATATGGCTCCCAGACCCGAAAGGCATTCGGGTTCTGAATTTCCAAATTGCATTCGAGAGCTCCCAAATGCCATTTGGGTCTGGGAGCCATATACATATATTACTAATGCTGAGGCTTTCAGACCCAAATGGCATTTGGGATACGAATTTTCAAATAGCATTCAGAAATTTGTGTCCCTAATGCCATTAAGAGCCTCAGCTTTAGTATTATATGTATATACTGAACACAATTTTTCGCTACGGCGTGTGACTTTTCTGGCCAATCAGATGGCTCCCATATTGCAAACAAAACATTTGTGTTCAGACCCATTCGGATGCATTAAACCGAAAAACACATCTGATTGGCCAGAAAAGTCACATGTCCGATGCAATTTCATTTTCGGAGTCTGAAAATTGGATTCGGACACATTCAGATGCACTGGGATCCGGAAATTCAGATGTGTCCCATGCCTGAATTTCAGAAAATGAGTCCAAATTTTGATTCGGAACAAAACGATTTGCACGTGTCTACTTGTATGCATGTGCATTGTCGGAAGCGCACATGCCTATTCCAGCCAGTGGCACCAGGTAGGCTATTTAAGGAGGATTGCTGAAGCTGCATGTTGCTGGAAGATCTTCAGCTGTAACGTACATTCTGTTTATTCCTGCTTCTGTTGCTCTGAATATGACCCGGCTTGACCCTCGACTCTGCTGTTCGCTGCCTACATCCTGACCTCGGCTTGCCTCTGACAACTCTTCTGCATCCTGATTTGGTACCGGTCTGCCCATAAGGTTCTGACCCGGCTTTTCCCTGACTACATGTCTGCTTTCTGAATCTGTATCTCACTGTCCTCCGTCTGACTTCACTTCAGCCTCCTGTACCTGTATCACTTGGCCTTCTGCTGATGGTCTTGTTCTGTGGCCACTCTTCTATCCAGCTATCTGAGTCTCTGCTCCAGTGTCTTCAGTTCCGCATCAGCTACAGGCACATGTGCCTCTCACAGTCTGTGCATCCTCTGTTCCACCTCCAGGGGTGTTCAGACGAGAGCTGCAAGGGGAGGCCTGGTTCATTACTTCAGGCCATACTAAGGTATGTATTGTGGTCTAGGGGCCACAATAAAGAAGTTATACTCACCCGATCCTTGGCCCCACAGCAGTGACTGCTCACCTCTCTCCCCCTTCACGCCAACTATGAAATGTCTCTTGATGTCCTCAGTAAAGCCAATGGACTTGTATCAGATGTGATGAATCCAGTGGTATTTAGACCCTGGGGGGCTGCGTGGACTCATCAAGCAGCCAGGTGGGCCCACGGATCGGGTAAGTGTATCTTTCTTATTTTAGACCCCAGACCAAAACAACCATTTAAACCTTGCAGTGCAAAATGCCTGGAGTTCTTCTTTAATTGTCTGCAAAAATTATATTAATAATACTATTCTCATTTTAACTCACCAATCACTGTCACTTTGGGTTTGATTTCAACAAAAGAAAAATGGACCCCATTGTCTTCCAGCCTGAATGTGTAGATATTGTCATCTTCATATTTTGCATCCGAAATTCTTAGAGAGCAATCTCCTTTCCATACCTCTCCGGTGAGAAAAAAATGAGGATGCTCATTTTGGGGATCATCTGGACCAGCCTTCCTAGCCACAATGTTCATTTTCTCATGATCGCCTTTCAGCCATATTCCTTGAGCACTCTTGGATAAAGTATAAATTGGAGGAACTTGAAAAGAGCAAGGAATGTGCACACACAAGTTGTGCTGCACTGCGACTCTTCTTGGAGTATTTATTGTAAATCCATTTGGTATTTTTGGAAGATTTGCAAACTGTGAGTTGCTGTCTGTGGGGAAAGGAAAATACAAGTTGTTTTTGTTTAGTTTTTTTTCTTATAATTAACATGGTGTAACCTATTTGGAGAGCCACCTGAAACAGATGTTTGTGTTCTTTTCAGGTAGTTTAAGGAAAGGGTTAGAATTCTGTTTAACCACTTGAAGACCGCGGTGTTTAGACCCCCTTCCTGTCCCGGCCATTTTTCAGTATTCAGCGCTGTGGTACTTTGACTGACATTTATTCCGTCATGCAACGCTGTACTGAAATTAATTTTATACCATTTTTTGGGGACAGATAGAGCTTTCTTTTGGTGGTATTTATTCACCACTGGGGGTTTTATTTTTTTCTATATTTCAGAAAATTTACTGATTTTTTTTTTTTAAAAAGTGTTTTTTACATTATGTTAGGAAACAATAATTATTACCCAATTTTTTGGTAAAATATAAAAGACGGGGTCACGTCGGGTAAATAGACACCAAACATTTCAAGCTTACAAATTGTGCGCACCCGCGAAATCGCAAAAAACTACAATACCCAAAATTTACCATAGGCGAAACTTTAAAAGCTTTTACCGCTCATCAGTTTAGTGTTATCAGTGATTGACTGTCCTAAAATTATCACTCTCACTGCGACGTTCGCGGCGATATGTAACATGTGCCGCGTAATGGGCACAATCATCGTTTTTGCAGGTATGCGCACCTGACGCATGTTTGCATGCGTGTATGTATGGGTGGGGGCTTTTAATTTTTTTGTTTTTTTAATTCTTTTTTATGTGTGACTTTAATTTTATTTTGGAAACTTTAATTTCTTTTCCTATTTGTTTTTTTTTTCACTTAACTTTATTAAGTGAAAAAAAAGATAGCAAAAGATGTGGCAGGTCCTCTTTATGGAGACATCAGGGGTCTCCAAGACCCCTAAAGTCACCCCCTGAAGAAGCTGATGAAGCAGAGATCTGCTTCTCTCCAGCGTCTGAAGCTGGAGAGTGGCACAAGAATGCGGAAGTGATGTAATAAACATCACTTCCGCATTCTGGCAGCGGAGAGGGGACCGGAGGGAGATCGTGTACCGAGCTCCCTCTGATCCCCTGTGACAGAGGCCGTATGCTGGTCCCGGGCTCGCACCGGGCACAGCGGAGCCCGGGACCGGCGTGACAACGAACGCTTGCGTACACCCTGCGGCGCGCGCAGGTAGGCGTGGCTAAACGGACGTCTAAAGACGCCCACTCTGATCTAGAGACCTCTCGGCCGGCCGTTTTTTTACAACGGCCGGCCCTGAGGTGGTTAAAAAAACTTTTAGAACATTTGTACAATTTCCTAATAGATAATGTGGTCAAATTGATTGATTTAAACCATATTGACAATCGTAATGATATAAAAAAAAAAAACCCAATGGAGCAGGATGGAAATTTTCTAAAACTAACAAAACTCTAACAGTGAATGTGATTTCCGTTCAAGGAACTCCATTCATTCCCAAAAAAGAATGTTAGAATCAAACATCATTTTAAGCAACATTTGTGACATGAACAACATTTTTTGGGATGATTGATTGTACTAGGGATGCCCCGATACCGTTTTTTCGATATTGAGTACGAGTACCGATATTTGTTTTTTGGTACTCGCCAATACCAAATACCGATATCAGAAGTCTCATTAAGGAAGCCAGGCAGCGTGTAATGACTCTGCACCTGGCTTCCTGATTAGCAGGGAAGTTGTCTCTATGCTCCCTCGTCACCAAGTGACGAGGAAGCATGGAGCCGGCTTTCTGGCCAATTAGGAAACCAAGTGCCGTGTAATGACTCATTGCCCGGCTTCCTGATTGTCCGGGAAGCCAGCTCCATGCTCCCTCGTCACCAGGTGACGAGGGAGCATGAAGCCGGCTTTTTGGCCAATCAGAAAGCCTGGGGGCGGGTAATGACTCGCCGTCCAGCTTCCTGATTGACCGACTTCCCAACCAATCAGGAAGCCGGGCAATGAGTCATTACATGCTGCCCGGCTTCCTGATTGGCTGGGGAGCCAGTTCCATGCTCTCTCCTCACCAAATGATGAAGAGGCATGTTTATGGCCACTCAGGAAGCCAGGCAGCGTATAATGACCCCCTGCGCGGCTTCCTGATACCGGAAGCACAGGTATCGGGCTAGGCATTGAGGGCATTTGGGCGAATATGAGTAGTCACCCAAATACTCGGCATCGGCGCCATTGCCAATACTAGTATCGCTATCGGTGCATCCCTAATTTACATGAAAAGCTACCATTGTACACCCAGCTTTACTTATTGTTTTGTTTTATTTATGTCTTGAGGACATCAAAGCCCAGATCTCCTCACTATAATCTCCCTTCCAACTATGACAACTGCAAATGCATTTCCAAAGCAAAACAGTGGTGTCACTCGGACCTGATCTAAATAATGACAAATAATAGCCAATCTAGCTGTAAGATGTGACACTGTTGGTCTTGTAGGATGGGAAGGAGACTACCATTGAGAGATTTCACCTCCAGAGTTTCTAAGATATTGGAAAGATCATGCTAGCTAACTGCTGTGGCCCATTCACATGCACGTGCATGTGGTTCTGGGCCATGCATCTATGCGCAGTGCATTTGCATGCACTGCCATAGGCTGTACATCTGTGACCTATGATTGATTGACCTTTGTTATTGACACAGCATCCATCTGATCTGTCCTTTGATTTTTCCTTTGATACAATTGCATGTAATTTTAAGGGATTTGTGTTTTTTCCATGTCACACTAAAAACCACGCTAACAGGACCCTCTCCATATTGTAGGGTATTTAGCCCATAAGCACATGCCCCTCGTGGCAGTGCAACTCTCATGATAGATAGACCTGATAGAAAACATCATAACAATGTCTATAAATCTTTAATCTTTTATTAATAAAATAATACAATACAATAATACAAAATACAAAATGGAACATATTAAATGGTATAGGTATAGGTATAGGTATGCAATTAGAATGAACTACAAAACATCAGGACCTTGGAGCTTCAACAGAGTATAAACTTCTATGTCTGCTCTTCCTCCAGCACTGTTCCCTACTCACCTATTTGGAACATGCTTAAAATCACAGCTATTGCCATATAATTTTGCTGGAGAAATCCATAGCGTATCAGGAGCATTTTGTTACGTAGGGCAGTCGCTAGATGTACCAATTATTGTAACAATGTGGCCTGGATGGAATTAAAAAAAGTTAATTAATGGTTTATTTTTTAAAATGTATTTGTGATTAAGAGAAATATGTGCTAAATGTACATCCTATGCATCCCAACAATATCCTTCCACCGCCCCCCAGCCTGGCAGTCTGAAGGAATTAGATATACTGTGTATGACATGTGCTACCTCATCTTTTCTGAGATTTCAGAGCAGCAGGGGCAGAGCGCACTGGTAGTGAAGAGTTCAATGGCTTTCTGGCAGATTTTTCTTTTGCACTTCTCAAACCAATAAAGCAAAACACTTTCAGTGGTATATTTACCAGACCAAAACAGAGCAAATGAGGGAAGTTTAATCTTAGGGTTTACATACACTTTAAGTAGTTTTTTTATGATTTCAGCAATATTTCATAATATTTGTGTAACTGTGGGTTGCCTGGCAATGTCACAGTACAAAGCAATGTTAACATCTTCCAGGAAATCTTAAAAGACAATGACATCCAGGAGTTATCCGATTTTCACAACTTCCTTAGTTTTATGCACGATACTAAATAATTTTTTATGTGATCTTATCTGATAAATATAAACAAAGTATTATGAGTCAATATTCACTCTGCTGAAAGATAGAAAACTCTGTATTTCCTTTATTTTTATTTTCTTTCTTTCTTTTATACTGTTTGTTCAGTCTTTATTTCCATTCTCCAGTAGACATTGACTTGCCTTTGCTTATACATTTTTTGCTGTTGTTGTAGTTTAAGTGAAGCTATAACAAAAGGTTAACATACAACTGGAGAAACCACAGCTCCAAGTTCACTCCAGTGCTAACCACAAAACCAAACCACAAAACCAAAAGCCTAATATAGTTTCAGCCACACAGCTAAAAAAAAGTTGAAATTCATATTTGTGATCATGTTGTTTAACTGCCGTTTAATTCACGCAGCCCTCAGCCAGCACATTGACAAAATTGTCTGTGCACTTTCCCTTGTTGTAAGCAGGTCATAGTGGAAGACTGACAACAATGTGTAATAAAACTTTGGTTGGCTATATAAAATCTTGACTAACCATATATATGTGTGTGTATATACAGTATCTCACAAAAGTGAGTACACCCCTCACATTTTTGTAAATATTTTATTATTTCATTTAATGTGACGACACAGAAGAAATTACACTTTGCTACAATGTAAAGTAGTGAGTGTACAGCTTGTATATCAGTGTACATTTGCTGTCCCCTCAAAATAACTCAACACACAGCCATTAATGTCTAAACCGCTGGCAATAAAAGTGAGTACACCACTAAGTGAAAATGTCCAAATTGGGCCCAAAGTGTCAATATTTTGTGTGGCCACCATTATTTTCCAGCACTGCCTAAACACTCTTGGGCATGGAGTTCACCAGAGCTTCACAGGTTGTCCTCTTCCACTCCTCCATGACAACATCACGGAGCTGGTGGATGTTAGAGACCTTGCGTTCCTAATAAAAAAAAAACTGTTTATTCAATTAAAATTAATATACTAAATTTTTATTTTGACCAGAGATTGTTCTTCTTTACAGTATGAATTTCATGTAAATGAAAACTGCTGATTTGTCTTAAAGGGACACTGTTCCTTTTTTTTCTTAAGTTGTACATTTGAAAGTGATCAGAATCAATAATCAATGTGTGTTTCTGTAAACAATTTGTATACATAATGGAAGCCATTGCACTGGCTTTGCGGCTTTGCATAATACAGACTTTCTGTACTGTTGACCATTGCCAGAGCATAAGCAGAAATCTTGAGGAAGTTAAAGTGACACTAAACTCCAGTTTAAAAAGAATGCTGCCAGATTTTATTGTAGAAGAGACTCTTTGGGGGGCTTTATGATCAAATCAGAGTCTCAACAAATTGAGAGTTTAATACTACCTAAACGTCCATGTGCATGCATGGGAGTTACATCATTTAAAGTCAGACAGTCAATATGGTCAAATGCCCCGAACCCTGAAAATAAAACAGACGACGCTGTCAGGAGCAGGGACTAAGCAAAGAGGCACATTACAGCCAACACTGAGCTGAAGTGGGGCTTTTTGTCAGGTAAGTCCAATGGCAACAATGTTTTATCTATGCTTTTACAGGAAATCTCCTTACAAGATCAATTGTTCCATAGACCACCTATTTCTCTCACTTCCTGCTGTGTCTCCAGGACAGGAAGTGAGGGAAAATCTCTGACATGATAGTCATAAACAATACGTACAGAAGGTTTAGATATTCACCATGCTCTCCAACAACATTTTGGCTGGAGATCTTATTGGTACTCGATAAACCAGAACCTTTTTCCCCCACATTTGCAATTTCATTATTGCATATAACAACTCTAAAGGGCTCAAGTGTGTAAATATATGTTTTCTTACCTGGGAGTTTTTTTGCATCCTCTACCAGCAAATCGTTGTTGTTTTCCCTCTTGTTAAATGACTGTTGCTTCTTCAGTAGTATATAATGTTCTATCTCAATATTGCAATGTTTGCCACCAGCCGTGTCACTCCAACTGTCCCTGAGATAAACCTTGTTAATGTTTATGAAACCAATGATTAGCGGGTGTCATTTCACATTTTTGGAGAAAGAAGAAGTTGTCCATTGTGATACATAATTGCCAAAGAAAACTGTTGCACAATTATTGCTCAACATGCACAGATTTTTCTTTTATATTCTCCAGGGGTGGCCAAATGATGACAGTGTATGTGAACAAAACTTTTTTTTTTCTTTGTTTTGGACAGATTGAAAGTTTAGGGCTACAAAGCTTTAAAAATAGAAAATATAGCTTGCTATATACTGAGGACGTTAGTATATGTCTTCCTGTGACCCTTAAGAGAACTATGGGATTAAAAGGTTACCCCATAGTTCTCTTTTAAACACAAATATCTCTCTTGGCCAGTCCCACTTCTGTTTTTTTTTTGTACAATGTTACTTCCCAAAAATGACTCAGATATACCAGACATACAAAAGAAATAGATACAGAGAAAAAGCTGAAGAAGGAGTAAAATTAAATGCAGTGATCAATAGAAGAAGAATAGAGACATGAGACATGGACACCTATGGCAAAAATTGTGAAAGAGAAGGTCACTTTGATCAATAGCAGGTAATGTGACGGATAGAACATGATGGTTTATAAATGACCAGTATATCAGTAGTCTATGGTATCTTCTCCCTGTGTCTTACCAATTAATCGGCACAACCCTTTCACTTATTCTTCTAGTTCTTCTACAGTTCTTACCTTCAAAGCTTCCTCCTGTCTGATGATTAAATATATATTTTCACTCATTTCTAGTCATCCTCCTAAATGTAACTCTTTATAGCTTCGTAATACAACCTTCATATCATCTCCATTGTAGCCATCTCTGAACACAGAAATGTTCCACTTTCTCATGAGCTCCCTTCTTCTTAACATTCATCTATCTGCAAATCTTCAAACCTTCTTTTTTAGGGGGAAAACATATTTCACACATTTCCACAACAAGAGCACAGATGGAAATAGTAAGAAATGTGATAATGTGATGTTTCTTTTTATTTCCATCTGTGTCCTCGTTGTATAAATGTCCTCTCATGTTCTATATGATTTCCATTACAGACAGGGAGTAGAATCTCTCCAACAGGCATAAAGACAACAAGAAAAACACATTTTAAGTAGAGTTTGGAAGGAAACAACCTCTGTTTGTGTCCCCACTGAGGAGATATATCCTTACCTCTAAGAAGGCTGTTTAGTTAAGATAGCAATTACAACTTCACCTCCCAGGAACACTTTAACATGACAACCGACTTTGGTGGCACCTTCAGTAGTCTCACACTCAGTGTTCCTGGGAGGTATAGTTGTGTTAATTTGTATCATTATTTATAGAGGTGCACCAAAATGGAAATTTCAAAACCGAAACGAAACCGAAATAAAAAAATTGTCAGGCCGAAACCGAAAATATTTTTTTTTTTTTATTTTTTCTAATTTTTTTAATATTTTATTTGTATTTATTTTTTATAAACTTTTATTTTTTTATA